ATCCGATGTATTGAAGTTGAGGGAACTGCAGGGGAAGTTATCGGTTGTAAAACATCTACGGTTCAGAGGTCTTAGAGGGCAGAATGAAGGCTGCGTAGGGGTCGGCAGTGGGTTGGAGAGAACCCCACGGGAGAGCGTGCACAGGACGGAGGGCGGCACTGACGTCCACTGAGGTCAGAGAAAGGACCCAGCGGCGGAGCAGGAAAGTGCTCAGAGTGGACGCAAGGGCTCGGAGCAGAGGCAGGAGATGATGTGAGATGTCGAGGAGGAGGAAGAGGGAGGACACGGACCTGGGCTCTGCTGTGACCTTGGCCCACGGGGTTTGGCAGCCGGGGTGGAGGGAGAGGCCGGGTTGCAGAGTGAGGCATGTCTGGGTGAGAAAGGGGGAGTCTGCTGGCAGCAGGGGAATGGGCTGGGAGGGGCGACGCAGGGGGCAGAGGCCTGACTGCACCGCGCCAGCCTCCAGGACGGGCGGTCAGCAGAGGGGCTGGGAGGGGACGCGGGGGGCAGAGGCCTGACCGCACCGCGCCGGCCTCCAGGACGAGCGGTCAGCAGAGGGGCTGGGAGGGGACGCGGGGGGCAGAGGCCTGACCGCACTGCAACGGCCTCCAGGACGGGCGGCCAGCAGAGGGGCTGGGAGGGGCGACGCAGGGGGCAGAGGCCTGACCGCACCGCGCCGGCCTCCAGGACGGGCGGCCAGCAGAGGGGCTGGGAGGGGACGCAGGGGGCAGAGGCCTGACCTCACCGCGCCGGCCTCCAGGACGGGCGGCCAGCAGAGGGGCTGGGAGGGGACGCGGGGGGCAGAGGCCTGACCGCACCGCGCCGGCCTCCAGGACGGGCGGCCAGCAGAGGGGCTGGGAGGGGACGCGGGGGGCAGAGGCCTGACCGCACCGCAACGGCCTCCAGGACGGGCGGCCAGCAGAGGGGCTGGGAGGGGACGCAGGGGGCAGAGGCCTGACCGCACCGCGCCGGCCTCCAGGACGGGCGGCCAGCAGAGGGGCTGGGAGGGGACGCAGGGGGCAGAGGCCTGACCGCACCGCGCCGGCCTCCAGGACGGGCGGCCAGCAGAGGGGCTGGGAGGGGACGCAGGGGGCAGAGGCCTGACCGCACCGCGCCGGCCTCCCGGACGGGCGGCCAGCAGAGGGGCTCGCCACCCTCTGAGGGCCCTGCTTCCTCGGCTCCTGCCCTGGCCCCTGGCTCTCAGAACAACGCCGGGACCCCGCACCTGGAGCCGGTGGGACCTTCCCGTTTGGGATTTGGTGCACAAAGGCCTTTGTGAAACCCAGGCTGTGGCACGGTGCACCCCAAAAGAAGAGCAGCGTTTCAGAATCTCCCGCCCTTGCCCCTCTGTCCCCCCTGCAGACAAGCTCCAGACCCCTCACGGTCAGGCCCCCAGCAAAGCCCTCTCCCTTTCTTAGAGCTCCGTCCGCCCTGCCGGGCCTTCAGGGCCAAACACAGCTCCGCTTTCCTCGTCACTGTTGTCACAGTGTGTTGTCACAGTGTGTTGTCACAGTGTGTTGTCACAGTGTTTCTCCCCAACACCATCAGCGCCTGCAGGGCTGGGCCTCCGCCCTCTGGGGAGGGTCAGAGAGCCGGGGTCGTAGGCTGTGTTTCGGTTATGTCTTGGTTTCCTTCCCTTACCCATCCTCTTGTGTCCTCTCCCTTTTATAAAACAACCCTCAAAAAATAAAAAATAGTTTATGGTGCAAGAGTCGTATAAAAATAGCCCCACAGGCCGCGGTTTGGGGGTGTCCTGGCGGGGGCACCCGCGGGAAGCCCTGGGATGGTCCTTCAGCACCGTCCCCACTACTCCCCCTGCTGCCTGCTGAGTGCCGGCCACCCGCCCACTGCTGGGACAGCACGGGGGAGGCGACTTCCCGGAGCCCGGAACCAGGGCCCCCTGGCCTGGGCATCAAAGTGAGGCCGGAGAAGCAGACCTGACCTGGCTGGACGGGAGCCAGCTGCCTGCCTGCACACGGGCCTGGCCATACACTGCACCCACCCGCCACTCTGCTCGCTTCCTGATGGGGTGGCCCCTGGGGTCGGGTGAAGGCCTGGGTGGCGTGGCCCACACCAGGGGGGTCCAGGCAGCCGGGTGCCGGCTCAGCCACGGCAGTGCTTCTGTGCCTCAGCAGCGGCCACCAGCGCTGGTCTGCTCTGGGGTCTCTGGGACCCGGCAGGGCTCTGCACAGAGAGACCACGGGACATTTCTGTGGCAGCCTCCAGCCACCTACCTCCCTGTGGAGCCCAGTGAAGAGCGGAGATGTTCTAGGATGACCACCTGTCCTGCTGGGCTTGGGACTGTCCAGCGTGTGGGCTGAGTTCTGGTGCCAGAGGACCCCAGTGCTGGGTGCACCACGACATGGGCTCAGGCCCAGGTTCAGGCAGGACCACAGCCTGGAGCACACGGGGAGGACTGGGCTCCCCCTGGCTGCATCACTCACGGGGGTTAAGGGGCTGGCAAGTCCCCAGACCCAGGCTGCCCCAGATCAATCACCTCAGGGACCCCTCAGGGACCCAGGAAAGCTGTCCAATCTCTTCCCATGAAGCCTCAGTTCCCTCACCGGGCCCATGGAGCAGGGTCAGCGCCCCTGCTGTCAGGGGAAGTGAGCGGGCAGGGCCGTGCTGGGGGACCAGGCAGTGAGGCTGTCCTCCAGGTGACAGTGGGCTGCAGGGCATCCGGGCCGAACCTCGGAACCTGCAGGGGCGGGCCTCAGAGCCTGCAGAAGACGGGCCAGCAAGTACTGGCACTTGGGATGGACATCGGTCCAAGGGAGGCTAACAGGGCCCAGGCTTCTGCGACAGGCCCTATGACTGCAGGCAGCTGGCCCACCCCCTGCCCAGCACCAGCCTTCTGGAACCTTCGGCCTGCACTGCCTCTGGGAGCAGAGATGATGGACAGTAAGGCGCCGAGTGTCCTGCCTGCTGTCGGGACTCAGGACTTGGTCCCTGACCCTGTGAGCAGCAGAAAGAAGCCCTCCAGACAACGCAGATGCGCTCGCCTGAGCAAAGGCGGCCCTGTGCCGCTCACCTGGCCCTGACCAGCCAGCCAGGAGGCATCGCCGCTGCTCCGCTGGCCAGACAAGGACACAAGCCCCAGAAGAGACTGGACAGCTTTTCTGGGTCGTGAAGTGCAGGACAGTGTTGAACCTGGTGCTTAATGGCAACTCTTCAGCTACTGGATCTTAGGGCCGTTTCTACAGACACCCACTCCCGCACTGTCTGCATTTTAAAGGAACACGAGAGAGGTAGAAGCCTCCACGTCCGGAAGCCCTTCCTCCGCCTCCAAGGGCCCCCCCGTCCACGGGGCCCCCCGTCCACGGGGCTCCCCGTCCACGGGGCCCCATCCATGGGGCTCCCCGTCCATGGGGCCCCCTGTCCACGGGGCTCCCCATCCACGGGGCTCCCTGTCCACGGGGCTCCCTGTCCACGGGGCTCCCTGTCCACAGGGCCCCCCATCCATGGGGCTCCCCATCCACGGGGCTCGCCAGCATAGGCCAGGGCACGGCCCAGCCAGGCACATGAGCTGTGTCCCTGAGACAAGTGCATCTGCCTTGCATCTGGTTCTCCCCCCACAGGGTTTCAGAACCACGTCAGGTGATGGCAGCAGGATCACCTCCGGGTGGGCAGTGGCCTTGCTGATGGGCAGTGGCTTACAGGGTCTCACGAGGGTCTTCAGGTGGGCTCAGCCGGTGCCGGAGCCGCTCCCCGAGCCTCGCAGGCCAGCGGTGCTGGGAGCAGGCACAAAGCGCAGCCGCGGCCCATCCCAGCCTCCACGCCAGCCGCCGCGCCCCCAGGCCACAGAGGCCAGAGCTCGGACCCTTCCACCGAATGCTGTGCCACGTTCAACCAGAGTTCGGTGGCAACAGCCACCCTGCACTGCAGGAGGAAAGTTGCTGGAACCACGACCCAAGGTCTCACAAAACCTCTGCCCCTCAGGGCCCGGGAGCCTTGGGGGTCTGGGCAAGGGGGTGCCCAAGAGCGGACAGAGATGGTCAGGATGCTCAATGCCCAGCCTCACGGGGCCAACGAGCCGCCCCATCAGTGAAGACATTCTGCGTCACACTTGGAAAGACACACAAGTCTTGAGGGGCCTGGGGCACCAGGGGGCTGGCTGCACAGTTGCTGGGGTGGCGTCACCCCTGCCCTTGGGGTTCGCCTGCTCTGCCAGCCCGGAGCCCATGCCCATGATGCCAGCCTGGCACAGGGGCTTCTGTTTGTGGAAGAAGGCATGTCTGCAGCAGCACCGGACTGTTCCAGACGGCGACCCCCGAGCCACATCTAGCCCCAAGCACAGAACTCTGGCCCTAGGTCCCCCTCCTGGAGCAAGTCCGTCCAGGTGAGAAAGACCCACGGGGCACTGTGGCCACGGCGGGACCGTTGTTTGCCCTGCCCCAGAAACCCTGGCAAGTCCCTGGGTGGGCTGGGCATGGACACCAGCATGATGCATGTGGCCAGCAAAGCCACAGAGCCAGGAGGCAGCGTGGGAGCAGTGGGGTGGGAGCTTTGGACTGATACCTGGCCGCCCAAGATGCTTAAATGAAAATAAGCCCCCTCCTCCCCTCCTCCCCTCTGCCAGTGAAGTAGAACTGAGTCCAGAAATAAAAGGTATTTGTGAGAACAATAATAAATTGCCCAGACACTGTGGTCCCCTCCGGTTGGAGCTCTGGCCCTTTCTGTCTTTGCTGACAGGGAACGGAGCTGGCGTCGTTCAAGAGCTGCCAGAAACATCCCAGCCCCACACCGAGACATCCTCCGTGACACGTCAGACACATCAGAGGCCAACAGGCGGGAGAAAGCTCCCGAAGGCTGTGCACCGTGCGCTGCGGACAGCACCTCCCTGAAGGCTCAGCCTGTCGTCAGTGTACCTGGCAGCGATGGGGGACGCGCCCACCGAGGTTAGGGGCCCTGAGACCAGGCAGTGAGAGAGGAGCCACAGCTCACCTGCAGAGGGTGCCGCCCTGACCTCCAAGCTAGTTCAGGGGAAGGAAGCTGTTTACCTGGGCGGGAGCGCTGCAGGACAGGTGGGCCAGGTCCCTGATCCTGGCCGCGGCCCGGGGGTCACTGGAGCTGATCAGGACCGGAGCACTAATTTCCATGGAGTGCCTGTGGCCGGCGGCCTGTGAAGACCTGTGCGTCACGCTGAACGCGGTGAAGGAGTGGCGCTTCTTGGGGTTCTTCTTGCTGTCCACGCGCTGCTGAAAGGCACTGACGGCCCCCGCGCTGCTCACAGTGGGACCTGGGGCCCCCCGGGCCGCGGCACTGGGGTCAGAGGGCAGCGAGGCGTGGCAGCCGGACACGGCCGGGCAGAGCGTGTCCGTCCCAATAAGCTCCTTGGCAGAGTCGTTGAGCTGCGTGAGAAAGGGGAGAGGGCTTCGTTAAGGCGGCCACACGCCAGTCCCAGCTCTGCGCACTCTCCCAGCACTCCCTCGAGCAGGGGCGCCACGCACGCCTCGTCTTCCTCACAGGGCGCCCCGCCACAGCGCGGGCGGGGTGGCCTGGGAGAACTATGTTGGAAAGGTTCTACAACTGCCCTGTCTCCCAAGGGCTGGCCGCCACCTCTGCCCCAGGCAGCCTGTCTTCCTGAGCTTCCCCGAGGGGCCAGAGAGGAGCAAGGATGCCGCCACCGGCCACATTCACCGTGGCAACAGGCTCTTGGCCGGCCTCGCAGATCTGGCCGCCCTGGGAGGAGAGCTCAAGGCAGGTGACCAGAGGTGCTTTCTGCAGGTGGCAGGTGGTGGCGGCCGGGCCAACGGGAGCTCGAGTCTTCTTTTCAGTAAACAGCCCGACTGGGGCTGTGAAGACCAAGAGCTGGTTGGACCCCGGCCCTGAGGAGTCAACACCGCGTTATTTCCGGCGATTCGGGGGCTCAGGCACGACGTCCTGCTCTCCCGCCCGCTCCGGAAGCAGCGGCGCCTGCACGGGGAGTCTGACCCCGGTGCAGCGCATCAGGGACGGGGGATGGCTCCAGCCCACGAGAGCCTGTGGCGACGGGCACCCCTGTTCCGCGGCCACGCAGGCAGTGCCCGGAGCTGGAGGGGCTGGGGGGAGAGATGCTCCTTCTCCTGCGGGATCCAGCAGGCCTCGGCAAGGTGAGGGGTCAGTGCGTCGTCTAGGAGCCAGACTGTGCCCCCGACCCTCCGCCGAGCGCGTTTCATCCACGGCGGACAGTGGAGCGCCTTCTCTCTGAGGCTGCCCTCCGTCTGCCTGTGCAGGCCTCCGGGGTGGGGCTCAGCCCGATGGGGTGCCGCCGGGGCACAGGCACTGCGTCCAGTGGCGGGAAGAAGGTGCTGTGGGGATGAGCTTGGGGCCGTGTCCACAGGTGGGTTGCATACATGCACCATGGGAGACACCTGTCTGTCGAGTTCTCCTCTTTTCAGAAGGAGAAGAAACCAGCCCCCGGACCTGCCCCGGGAAGCCCGATGTTAAGCAGGAGGGACTCCAGCCACTGTTTCTGTTTCCTGCTCACCTGGCAGAGGGCGCAGGAGCCGGCGGGAGCAGGCCGGGCACTCGCCTCTGCACCCCTGGGCTCTGCGGGCTGGGGAGGAGCAGCCAGGGGCACCTCCGCCGCGCCCCCGGCAGCCAGGCAGGGCCTGCAGAGGGCCTGCGGGTCCCCAGGGCTGAGCTCCCCTGCTGCGCCCCCTTTCCCTTTCCAGACGCCTTGTCCCCAAGGTCTAGCCTGTGGTCCCAGGGAGAACGTGCTGAGATGGCGCTGCCCCGCCCAGCTCTGCTTTCTGAGAAGATGGAGGCTCTCCCAGCTGCTGGAACAGGTGGGCCAGCTGGGAGTCGGCCAGGGTGCCCCCGCCCCAGGGACTTCTCGGGGCTCAGCGGTGGGGAGGGCCTCCCCTCTGGAGAAGCGCCTGCTTCCAGATGCGGCCGCGGCCTTGGCTCCCTGGCCTTCCCAGAGTCCTGCGGAGTGCGGCCCTCACCCAGCCGGCCTGCTCAGGGGTGGGTCCTGCACGGTGCCGGCCCACGCGGGGAGGAGCGACGCGCAGGGCAGTCCTGCGGGGTGGACTCCGACGCCCTCAGCAGGGCACCGCCAGCCCCGCCGGGATGTGGGGCAGAGACATCGTTCCCGCCACACCAAAGGCCGGGTGAGCGGCGCTGCGCTGCCCAGGGGGTCGTGAGCTCAGGGACCCCCGGGTCTCTGTGCCCAGGCGGTGCCGGCCGCCACACGCCCTCCAAGCAGGGCCACACGAGTACCGTGGGTCAGAAGAGGCCCTGGAGCTGGTCCCCTGTTCAGAGTGTGGGGCGGGAGTCAGCTTGGTCACGACGGCACAGTTCCTTCTGCCGGAGGGGCGCAGGCGTGGAGGCCCCGAGGGACAGCGAGGCCAGTGGTGAGGACAGGCCCCAGGACGGAGCTCCCTTCTTCACACCATGGCTGAGCCGTGCCCCTCGGGGCCAGCAGTGCCCAGCAGGATGCCGGCCCTCCGTTCGGGCAGACCAGCTCCCCTCCCCTGGGTGCGTCCCAGCTGGAAGGGTTCAGACAGCGAGGCCCCCGGCTGAGGGGGAGCCCGCAGGCCAGGCCCGTCCCAGCCCGCTGGCTCCCTGTCTGCAGAGCACGGACACCTCCCTCAGCGCTCACCCCCAAGGTCAGGCCTGCCTAGGAGGCCCGGGAAGAGGCGGACAGCCGGGGGTGGGGCAGAGAGGGCACAGGGAAGGCCCCGCAAGACCGGCAGCGCGGAGCTTGGTGCTGAGGGAAGCCCAGGCCACGGGGTCAGCTGAGAGCACGGTGAGCCCGCAGCGGCCACTGTGAGGACACCGCAGCTTGGGAAAGGGCTGAGCATCTTCCTAGGTTAAACATTTGCTACTCGAGCGTCGGGGACCCGCAGCACAGGAGCAGGTCGCTTCACCTCACCAGGCCAGGCAGCTGCTACCGGGCCGCCCACGGAGGGCCCGCCTGGGCCCCGGCATTTCCACGACAAACACCCGTCTTTCAGGGGGAGGGTCTGAAAACTCACTCCGGGCCCCCACCCTGTGGTCTAAATCTGGGATCATTTACTTTGCAATGCTGCCTCCAATAGGCTCATTCTGCATCATTTTATCTTTTCTTTATGTCCTTTATCCACCTGCTTCCTCAGCCGTCCCAGCTTGGAGGACAGCCACTCCCCTACGTCCCTCCCACGCCCCGTGGGCCTCCAACGTGGCCTCCCAACCCGGTGCTCTCACCCACCGGCAGGCCCCGTGCAAACAGAAACGCAGGAGGCAGGTGCCCCTCGTTCACAGGCACTGAGTGTGGTGTGAACTCCCGCCACGTGTCCCACGTGGAAGGCTACACCCGGAAGGAGCACGCCAGCAGCTGGGCTCAAACACCTGTTCCTCCCCGCAGCAGCAGCCCGGACTGTCTCGGCTCCACCCCGCTCTGCTGGGTCAGCGCCAGGAATCCCACTTCAAGGTCAGGAAATCCAGCCCCCGCAGGACAGGTGAGTTCGCATCCGGCACACTCGGGGCCAGACCAGAGCTGAGCGGCCAGCCCCCCGCGGTGCCGGCCACCCCCAGCCACGCAGCCCGGCCCCCGCACTGGCCAGTCCTCGGATGACCACACTGCCCTCCTCCACAGGAGCCAGGGTGCGGGGCCGCCACGCCTCTCACCCCCGCCTTAGCCATCCGCAGCCGCGCTGGGTGCTGAAGGTGAGGCCAGTATTTGCCGCTGACGATGGTGCCATCAGCAAACCACAGGACAAGCAAGAACTTCTGCTTCCGAGTGGTGCCTCTCGTGTCAGGGAGCTCTGAGCCCCTGACACCTCTGCCGGAGGCGGGGAGCTTCCAAGGACAGGCCTCCCCAGGAGAGAAGCAGCCCGGTCTTGTCTTCTGTACTGAACTGTTGCTGGCGACAGGTGGCTTCTTATTGGAGACAGAGAGAGACGGATAGATGACAGACAGACAGACTGACAGATGATAGACAAATACACAACGACACAGCAGTTGGCACCACGCCCGGAACCCCAGCCTGCCAGACCTCGATGGGCACAGGGGCTGGGGGGGCCGACCTCCGCTCTGGGGATGGTCGCAGGCAGAGCGCACTGTGGGGGGAGCCGCCGTCTTCCCAACCAGCTGGCCTGAGCCGCCTCACACAGTGCAGAGGGACAGGCTGGCAGTGACGTGTCCACACCGCACGGGCCCACCGGGCAGGTCACCTGCAGCCACCAGCACCTGTGGGACCGTGGCTCCTGCATCAGACTGTTCGGAGCAGCCAGGGGTCCCCGTTTCCTCCTGCTCCCACGGAACCGATGCTCGGCCTGCCCTGGGCGGGCGCTGCAGCCCCGCCTCACGGGGCCTGGGGTCCTGGGCGCCAAGGAGAGCATGCACCAACACGGAGGTTCCCCTTCCTCCCCCAACCAGAGCGTTGAAGGTGTGGGCGCTGCGGACAGCCAGCTGCAGCGGCCGTGCGGCCTCAGGAGGCTCCCCTCTGGGCCAAGACGCTCCTCCGGGAAGGACACTTGGCTGCTCTGCCCACACGTGGGGTCACCTGACGCACAGCTCAGCCGGATACCTGCAACCTCACAGACACACACGCAGACACTGTGCCTGCGTTGTCCACACGCATAACCCAAGAGTCAGTGATTAACCAATGCACCCAGTAACTCAACTTTGACTGCCTTTGATGGAAATAGGAGACATTTACAATTTCCATACAGAATGAAAACAAAGTGGCAGCCCCAACATTTAAAAGTCCTGATGACCCTGTTCATGTCTCAGGGGACCAGCCCTGGCCCTGGGAAAGGAGGGACCCCCACAGGGCACGCTCCCTCCGGCCGCAGGTCCCTCTGCAGGGCGGCCACCATCCACATGCTCCCAGGAACACGGCGCCAGCCGGGCCAGGCCCGCGCACACGCTCAGACCCACTGTCCTACACCAGGGGCCAGTCGGGCGGCAGGACAGCGGTGGTCAGCCAGGTCGCTCCCAGCAGGGACTCTGCGTTCTGCCTCTGTGGCTTAGCAACTGTGGACGAAAAGGGGCCACATGCTAACCTGACAAGCTCAGGGGAGGCCTGTGTGGGGCCTTGCAACTCAGAGACCTACAGTAACCACAAAGGAGGGTCCAAAAATAAAACTTTTGAACTAAAAGCAGTTTATGGCAGGTAGTCCTGTCCAAGGCTGTATCATCCCTGACAAAGGTCAATCTTTACCTTAACTGAGCCTGTCTACTGTCTTTGCATCTATGACAACATTCCTTTGGAACGTCAGGGTGACTCCCCTTTCCCAGGGCACAACAGTGCACCAGGGTGGAGACCACAAACCCCTCATTGCTATCACGCTAACTGCTGACTATTAACTGCCCTGTATCCACCTGTGTAAAAGATGGATGTGTCTATCATTGTACTTTTCATCCAACCCCAGAGGTCTCCCCC